GGTACAAAAGTGGTCATTTAAAAATTGGCAAGAAAAAGAAATATACATGACTTGAATGCGCCCCCAAAGGTAAAGGCAGATTTAGAAGGGCAACCCTTGGCAACCCTTAACGTGGCAAGAAAATAGGCAAGCAAGTTTTTTTTTTAAGACAGAAAATAGCCTTTTAAGCCTTAAATTTCTATAACAGAAAGGACTAATTGACTAGAAAAATACAATAATGCCTATATGCAGAAGAAGGCAGTTTGATCAGAAAAAAGAAAAAAGTAGATACTACAACTAGGAGGCTATTTTTTAAACAAAAAAGAACTCTGGCCGTTTTTTTGTACATGAGTACCTATTGATTTATTTTAAGTTAATTAGAAAATGCTGATATCTGAGTTATTTATTATAAGTAACCGTTTTAATATTATTCATATAACATAACACAACTTACTTATAAGATAAAAGCATGCATTCACGCCATTAAAAATGACAGAAAAAAATAACCTACTCATGGACATACACACACAGACACTATATGCATCGGTTTATTTTAAAACCATTTTATGTAAACCATTACCAGATTCTAAAAGTTGATTTTTAAATGCCAGTTGTAGGATGTAATAAAATAAACTCCATCCATTTGTTTATAGTCGTTCATTTACTGGCGATTTTTTATACTGTCCTATTAAGTAAGTACCAATGTAACTTTTTCCGAGTTATATGTACTTTCTATGATTATTTAGACACCACTGACATACGGTGAAGGTAAACATCGTGAGGAAACCTGGACTTATAATTTCTAATTATAAGTTTGAAATCGCCAACCCGCATTGAGCAAGCGTGGTGATTAATGCTCTAACCTTCTCCGTATGAGAAGAGGCCTTTGCTCAGCAGTGGGCATTTATAGGCTGATGATGATGATGATGATTAGCCGTACGTACCTAACACGCGGTTCTTATCCGCTTAGTTTATAGCTTAGGTTCATTGAGGATAGTACCTATAGCTTCGAAGCAGTGAAAGAATATTTTAAGTAGGATAAGAAGTTTCAGAGCCTATTTCATTGAAATAAACATCTTTCCTCTGTACAATGTAAATAAATATAGGTATAGACTAGAGGCCCACCCACGGAATAGAAAATACAGTTCAAGTGTAGAGGCACAGGGTGCAAGGCTGTCCAACTGCCTCGCTAACGACAAAAAGGTTGGTATTTCGCAATCTGCACCTTACTACTTTTCTAAAATTTTCTCTCATAAGAACCTTCTCCTGGCAATAACAAATACAACAAAAATAGAATGGGCGAAAATTGATCCAGACTTTTTTGAGTCACTTGAATGTGTGTGTGTGTCTTTACATGAATTTCATATGTAGCATCAAATACAGCAAGTTTTTGATAGATCATTTATTATTTCATATTATTTACAATAGATGCTAATTTTTTTTTCATTTTTTAACACGTAAATACGCTGTTTTCAGTAGTATACTTTTCATAGTAGATTTTGTTTGTTCCATTGACCGTAACAAAATTCACAATCACTATTGTATAGATACATTGGTTTTCGCTAAAAAACGAGGTTAGTATGTATTTAGTTCGAAGTTTGTAATGATTAGAATCTATTGTTTTACTAAAATCGTGACGATAGTAAAAAAACTTCCTATTATCGCATATTCATCTTTTACTTACTTTTTTTTCTTGTAACATTTATATTAAGTTAAAATTCAAGTCGATTCAAATATTCGAATTTAGAATTACTCCCAACTAGTTATAATTTAAGGTTAAGATTAATGAAAATATCTCTATAAATATTATAATATAACCTGAAACGAAAAACCCGAGATTTCCCTGGTTTTTGGTTTGTATACTTATTATGAGTGATAATTAAATTGTGAATGTTAATAAGTCTGTGTATTTAATAGGCCTACTTTTGCTTTATAAATATAAGGTTCAGAATGTAATCAAATAAACCTAGAAACACAAACCTCCTTTGATTTAAATCTTGTTGTTCACGGAACTAGCAATTAATTATTACTCCGTTAAAAATGAACAGAAAAAAACTAATCTACATAATGTACGGTATAAATTACCTACATCTACATAACACAAAACCTTTGACAACCCTAAACGTGGCAAGAAAATAGGCAAGCAAGTTTTTTTTTAAGACAGAAAATAGCTTTATTAAGCCTTAAAATATTTGTAAAAGAAAGGAGACTGGTTGACTAAAAAATAAAATAATGCCTATATGCAGAAGGCAGTTTGATCAGAAATGAGAAAAAAGTAGGTACTACAACTAGGAGGCTATTTTTTTAAACAAAAAAAAAATCTATGGCAGTTTTTTTTGTACATGAGTAGGTACTGAGGCTTATTGTTAACATTTTCGTAAAATACTTATTGATTTATTTAAAGTTACTTAGAAACTCCTAATATCTGAGTAATTTATTATAAGTTACCGTTTAAATATTATTCATATAACATAACATAACATAACTTACTTATAAGATAAAAGCATGCATTCACGCCATAAAAAATGACAGAAAATAATAACCTACTCATGGTCATACACACACAGACACTACATGCATCGGTTTATTTTAAAACCATTAGGTAAACCATTACCAGATACTAAAAGTTCATTTTTAAATACCAGTTGTAGGGTGTATTAAAATAAACTCCATCCATTTGTTTATAGTCGTTCATTTTACTGGCGATTTTTTATACTGTCCTATTAAGTAAGCACCAATGTGACTTTTTCCGAGCTATATGTACTTTCTCTGATTATTTAGACACCACTGACATACGGTGAAGGTAAACATCGTGAGGAAACCTGGACTTTATAATTTCTAATTATAAGTTTGAAATCGCCAACCCGCATTCAGCAAGCGTGGTTATTAATGATCTAACCTTCTCCGTATGAGAAGAGGCCTTTGCTCAGCAGTGGGCATTTATAGGCTGATGATGATGATGATGATTAGCCGTACCTAATACGCGGTTCTTATCCGCTTAGTTTATAGCTTAGGTTCATTGAGGATAGTACCTATAGCTTCGAAGCAGTGAAAGAATATTTTAAGTAGGATAAGAAGTTTCAGAGCCTATTTTGATTTAAACATCTTTCCTCTGTTCAATGTAAATAAATATAGGTATAGACTAGAGGCCCACCCACGGAATAGAAAATACAGTTCAAGTGTAGAGGCACTTCTACTTAATTTTCTGTTCTGTGGGCCCGCACGGAATAGAATTTTCTGTTCTGTGGGCCCGCCCCTGCTTCGGGGCAAGGGTGCAAGGCTGTCCAACTGCCTCGCTAACGACAAAAAGGTTGGTATTTCCCAATCTCCACCTTACTACTTTTCTAAAATTTTCTCTCATAAGAACCTTCTCCTGGCAATAACAAATACAACAAAAATAGAATGGGCGAAAATTGATCCAGACTTTTTTGAGTCACTTGAATGTGTGTGTGTGTCTTTACATGAATTTCATATGTAGCATCAAATACAGCAAGTTTTTGATAGATCATTTATTATTTCATATTATTTACAATAGATGCTAATTTTTTTTTCATTTTTTAACACGTAAATACGCTGTTTTCAGTAGTATACTTTTCATAGTAGATTTTGTTTGTTCCATTGACCGTAACAAAATTCACAATCACTATTGTATAGATACATTGGTTTTCGCTAAAAAACGAGGTTAGTATGTATTTAGTTCGAAGTTTGTAATGATTAGAATCTATTGTTTTACTAAAATCGTGACGATAGTAAAAAAACTTCCTATTATCGCATATTCATCTTTTACTTACTTTTTTCTTGTAACATTTATATTAAGTTAAAATTCAAGTCGATTCAAATATTAGAATTTAGAATTACTCCCAACTAGTTATAATTTAAGGTTAAGATTGATGAAAATTTCTCCATAAATGTAATAATATAACCTGAAAAGAAAAACCCGAGTTTTCCCTGGTTTTTGGTCTGTTTACTTATTATAAGACATAATTTTACTGTGAGTATCAAAAAGTCTGTATTTAATAGGTTTTTGCTTTTTAAATCTAAGGTACGTTGTATACAGCATGTACCTAATCAAATAAATCTAAAAACACAAACCTCCTTTGATTTAAATCTTGTTGTTCACGGAACTAGCAATTAATTATTACTCCCTTAAAATGCACAGAAAAAAACTAATCTACATAATGTACGGTATAAATTATACATAACACGAAACATCAATGAATAAAATTTATTTTAAGTTATGTTTTACGCAAATACGATATAGATCTGCAATCTATGCATAGGTAAGTTTTACGTATTCTCTTTGATAGAAACCCTAATAGTTAAATAAAAAAAAAATAACATCGCTTCATAAAAATTTCTGGTTATCTTTTGTTTTTTTTAAGCTTGTGTAGGTACAGAAATATACTAGGGTACAATAAAATACGTGGAAAATAATCAAATAACATTTTGTTCCTTATAAGGATCGCATCTTGGAGTAGCTAATCATGCGTGTAGATGAGGGTAATTTAAAAAATTACACTTTATTAGGAAATTGGCTTAAAATACTTTTTAAAAGGAATTAAATATTCCAAGCTTTTGTCTTTTGGTCTGATAGTAATTCAGGATGAATATAATCTACATGCCAAACAATACGTAATAATCACTGAACTAAAACAAAATTTTATGAATGAAAAATATAACATATAGATATTTAAATAAAAGGTGGGCAGACATACTTATCTATCGCATTATACAATACCAGTTTCCGAAGAATATAGATTTAATTTATTATGAATTTGTTTACAAAGAATTTAGCCTTGACTGTTGACATTATTATAATTATATTACGAGACAAACTAGGCATTAGTTATATTTAATACCTATATTGCAAAATATGGGTTAAGTAATAAGTAACAGTTTTAATGAAAATAACAAATAAATTGTATGCTATAAAAACATTGCAGTTTTCCGAACTCATTAAATTTTGTGTTTCAACAGTATATTATTATTAAATCATCCTAAAAAAAAAAACAGTTACTTACAGACATCAGCGGCGCACACGGAAACTAACAACAATATGGCACTTAACTTAATCACGGCAGACGCCATTGTTATGGCGATTTAAAAAAAGAACTAAAAAAAATATTTAAAAAAATATGATAACTAAAATAATGTAGCGTGTGATCTCACGCACAGAACTCAACTGGCAATGATCATGGCCTTACTCGGTTTATATTGCCATGTCCGATGGCTTGAATCATCGTCGTTCCATGAATTTATCGAATTTTGATTTCAATTTGTTTTGCTGTCATTGTCAATTTGTATCCGTGTAGGATTCTGTTTTATTTTTCCTTTAGGTTAAGGTCAAAATCTTTCTTTGGAGCTTTGTAATGCATTTCAGTTCGGCTGCATCGTATAACAGAGATGTACATATGTAGGCATTGCGTCTTGAAAGATTAATTAAATTCTGCAAACAATTAGCCATATAGATAATATGTACTAGTAATTCTTTTTTTCAATAAATTTTATTTTGGCAAACAACATGGTTTAAAATTCAAATTTTGAAATTTTATACACGTCACATAAATATTATTTAAATTCAAATTCCGAATTATACGGGCCATAATCTGCATAGTTATCAAAGTCAACGTCAAAGCTAATCAAATGCTTTTATGTTTTATATTAGGCTCCTTATTTTTTTCAAAATGTTTTTTTTATTCTCAGTGAACATGGTAACGTTGACAGGTTGCAAAGGTTATTAAAAAAAAAATCTCCTCTTACGAGTTATTAAGGTGTAGGTACAGATCATAAAAAAAGTTTATTCAGTCTGTAACATGTTATAGCTATTTAGGTATTGCAGCTATGTTGTTTTTTAACAAAGCCATAAAGTTTTGGTAACAATTTAGTACAACCTTTTACATACATAATTATATGCTCAGAGTCTCAGTACTGAATCAATGTTTATTTTATTATGTTACCTGCATACCAAATAACCTTTTTTAAAAATTCAAAGCAACTTTTTAGATTTACCTATAGTGGAAACATATATAAGTGGCATCGATGCGATGCAAAAATAGACACGAGATATCTAAGTAAAAACTACATATTTACACAAATATTTAAATTATTTTATTTATATGATAAGCGAAAACGATTGAGCGGATTAAAAGTAGGGATACCATGTTCTTTTTTTAAATCAGGTCGTTCGCCAATTTTTAGGTTATAAAGATTACCACCTACTTATTAACGGTATATACTACGTACTTACCAAGAAAACAATATATGACTTAGCTGTTACTTAGCTTAAGTTTAAGACAACTACTTTATACAAGTTACATGAGGTTCATATTAGCTTAGATTTCGTAGGGAAACAAATATAAAATAGCTAAATTGTTATCACATTTTTTTAGGTTAAGTTGGTGTCTACATTTTCCTTCAATTCAGTTTAATTTGTGTGCCAGTGATTGCTATTCCTACTAAGATATTAACATATGTTTGAAGATCGTGAAACCGCATCCTTTATCTTGATTATGCGTCGTAAATTATTTTAACAATGATAATTATAATAAGCACCTACCTACATCCGGCTCATAATGCATGGGAGATTACCAGGGGAAAAAGTTTTGTACCGATATGTAGTTAATATGTTTAACTGAAATATATTAATTAGTTCTATGATTGGGACAATGGTGGTTTTTTTATACCTAGATCTGTATAAGAGCAGACTTATACCTGGTAGTAAGCAATCAACACAGCTTATGGACACTTGTTATACGTAAGGAGTTACTACAAGTGCGTTGTCAATCTCTTGCGTGTTATTAGGGATTGAAGGATAGGGGATGTGAGGATTGAGTATTAAAGGATTGGGCCTCCGGTAACCCGGCCACACGGCGAAACTCGGCGTTAATGTTGTTTCAAGTCAGTTTTCTGTGAGGCCGTGGTATCACTCCGGTCGAGCCGGCCCATTCGTGCCGAAGCATGGCTCTCCCACACTTAAACTTTGCTTGAATGGTGAAGGTCCTGACATAACCTGAATAGTATTAATATGGTACGGTATTGACTATTGACAATACATTAAAAAAATCTTTTGTAAAATTACCTCAAAAGGCACAGTTATAGGCAATCAAATACGGGAGTTGTGTAGTCAAAAATTTTCGGACATATTATCGTTTAACCGAAAACCATGGTCACCCGAACCGAACCGGACCCACGTTGCTTAGTCGTTTCAAGTTCAAGTTTGTAAAGCTGTAACTGGTTCTCATACAAATTGAGACTGGTAACACAGGGTGAAGATTACGAAGTATGCTATCGAGAAGACATTGGCGTTGTCCAATGACAGTAAAATTTCAGTTTATATTATTGTGTATTTTAAAAAGTAAGTCTAAAATCGAAATCACGTCTTGAGCAAGCATATTGATTAGGCTCTAGGCTGCCGCTGTATGACACATAATATAATAGAAAATACATTGTGCCTTACTTTGATCAGTCATCATCACCATCATCAGCCTGATTTCGTCCACTGCTGGACATAGGCTTCCCCAATTGCACTTCACTGATCTCGATGTTAAACTCTTCAAATAAACCAATGCCATCCACCCAGCGGATATCGTCAGTCCACCTAGGAGAGCGCCCAACACAATGTTTACCTAGATGTGGTCTCCACTCTAGAACACGTCTACTCCAACGGTCACATCTCTGACATACCACGGCTCATTTCTTCTGCGTGTAAGAAGAGGCATTTGCCTAGCAGTGAGTTGGAGCTTTATAGGGTGATGTTGATTTAATTATGATAAAGATCCGAAAGTCATCGAGGGAAGCTAACAGTGGATTTTTTATGGCGTGATAGATAATGTTATAATTATAATAATACTGAGTTCTATTTTGGACATAGTATTTATAAGAAAAAAAAACATGAAAATCATTTCTTTCTTAAAAGGCTTGCACTTCTCCGATTTTGATGGTCTCCATTGCCGGCGCTACAGATGACTCAACAATCAAGTGATACTTGTTTACCTTCTACTTATTCCATTAAAAAAATATCATTGAAGATTTCAAGTACCTAACTTATTTTCCCGAAATTAAGATCCAAACTGAAAAAATACAACGAATAAATAGTTAATATAATTTTCATTATATCAATTAGTACCTAAGTGTGTCCCGATTGTATTGTTATAACACGAATAAACTTTTTTTTGGGTTTTTATTTCAGTGCGGTAAATAAAAGCGTGTATTCGATATTTAAACTTTTAACTTTCCTGTTCCTGACCTTAACTTGTTTATGGTGCATACAATCATGAGTCATTAATAAATAGTACGATTAGATTTGAATATTGAACAGGAGTCTTAAAATGGTTACCTTATTGGTCCACCGAGGCGCAAGATGAGCCTTCAAATTGCTAAATTAAAGTTTTTTAATGATGCGATAATATAGATGAGATAAGTATAATAATTTACTAATGACAAAAACAGCCTATGTGTTAATCCAAATTATCATCACTAATTCCAACCTAATCAATCCAGCCGTTTTTGCGTGAAAGAATCACAAAAATACATCCATAAATTCTCACAAACTTTCACATCTATAATATTAGTAGGATTAGAAGAATTTGTAGGATATTAGTATTTATCTTATTGGGGACAAATGCGTTGTCGACCTTATAGGAAACTATTGATTGGCGCCATCGAGAGAGGGAGAGGGCTCCCCGAAACAAATGACGCAGTCAGACAGTGGGCCATTCGGCTTATAATAATAAAAAAAACCTCAACCTGTATATCGAATAATGTCTATGGTAATCTAAACATATTATAATAAAATATTAAATACCTACCTACATAGAGTTGTATAGCTCCAGGCTATAGAATAGCAACACTAATGAAATAACGGAGTATTTTAATTTACGACCACACTGAATGTACAGTTTTATAGATAGAACCGTTTTGATATTGTTAATTACTTTCTTCCTCGATAGATATTTTTTGTTTACTTTTTGTATAGTCTTGTTGGTTCTTTATTAGCATGTGGATAGGTAACTATTTACCAGGTAATTTCGATGGCAAAAAGCCTCTTCTTTTTCTTTCGGAGGCGGAATATGGGCAAATAAGAGCAAAGCAAAGGAGATTGTTAATACTAAAATAAACACTATTTGATTTTCAGAATTCCTAAGTCTAAGCTTGAAGAAGTTGCTGGGTGTACCTTAACGCAATAATGACCCAGAGGGCCTATCATGACGTCTTAAAGCGTCAATCTTCTTCTGACCTGGAGCAGGAAAAGGAACGGGGCGGTTTCCAATCAGTAAGAGTCTGATACTTCCTCTCCACCCCCATCCAGGGCGAGCGAAGATAATAGATGATCTTTCCTCTCTTAACTTTTCAATCGTGGTACCTAATTCGAGACACAATAGAAGAATATGAGGAGCGTGAATGCAGGCGTTCGCTTGGCGTTTAAGCAGTTAAAAGGCTTTGAGAAGGCGTAGACTTATCCCCTGAACCACCACGACATTACCTATTGGTAACAGTCTGACTATTAACATTAGCGGTGGGATGATGACTCCAATTTTTAAATAAGACTCCATGCGTGATCTCGTCTGTCTTCAGGGTAAAGCAGTAAGTATTAGGTTTTTAAATTTCGAAATTGTATGATATATAATTCCAAGCTACTAAGTACCAATAATGACAGAACCTTGAAAAATGCTCTGCCCGACTCGGAGATCGCAAACCTCTTCTTCGATCCGTCAACATAAAGTTCATGAATTCAGCGCCCTCGCCTGCAGTACTAGACCAATGTAGCTTATGTGTTATTAATTTATTCCAGACTATAAGTCTATATACTAATACGTATTATCACTGTGCCTTTCAACTTTCTTTCTTTTTTAAAAACTTTGTCCCACGCTAGAATTTCTTTCTGTATGGGTGCGTTTACAAATATACAATTTCAAGTAGACATCACACCCAAACCCGGAACAACAATTTCTGGATCACACAGAGCGTTGTTCCGTGCGGGAATCAATCCCGCGACACATTGCGTGGCTGCCGGTTGCCCAGCCACCGCCCCAGCCGTGCAGTCAAATCAGATCCGATCAGTAAGTTTTTCGTGAAAGAGTAGTTTTCTACTAACATCATATTCATACTTAGAAACTTAACCATTTCCTATATTAAAGCAGGATTACTGACAACATAATAAGACGCCATACATATACAACCATTTAACTTCACATTTCCGTGCTTTGGTAGAACGCAGAAC